TTCCAGTCACCGTGTGCATGAGCATTTTACTCAACCTGCCGATGCTAGATGAAATTTTGTTGTCACCCAAATCACTAATTATTATTTTACTACAATGAACTAATTGATATATTATGGTTAGGGTATAATGAGAGATAAACTCACTCATTGGCAGTATCAGGTTACTGTATCGCTGAATGCCAAAATCGAATTTTGTCAATTTTTGTAAAAAAACCCTTCATTATTTTTTTTTTAATTGCCACCCTACATGTATACAAAATGGGGAATTATGCAAATTTAATCAAAAAAAAAAAAATTACAGAAAATTGGGAAAATGTTGCCCGAAAATTCAGGAAATATACACGAGAATCATAAAATGATGTTAGATTTGTGTCAGACTCACCTGATAATGTTTAAAAAGATACGCTGAGCAAATACGACAATTTATCCCAAACCTATAAATTAATAAAAAGAAAAAAAGTCAGTTTTATTTGCAATCTTCAATCAATCACGGCAGGTTTCTGTTTTATTTGCCGTGTCTGTCTTATTTGCCATCTGAAAAAACCCACAGTAAACTGACAAATTTCATCTTCTTTTATTTTTAGCTCACTGATTCAGTTTGCAGAAAAAGACATCGACAATCAAATACAAAGATAGGCTTAACTTCAAAATGGCTATAATTCTTTTTCTCTCGGCAGTTTTGAAATTATCGTGAACTAACAAGAGATAAAAATGCTGACTTAAATGACAGAATCTGATTACATTCTTGATATTATCGGCATGCAGGCTGAACCGGGGGGAAAATTAAAATGATTTCCAGCCTCACAAGATAAGATTATGAAAACTGATCAAAGAGAAATTACTCAAAACAATCATATTACTTCGGGGTTGAATAAAATAAATTGCCTTCAAGTGTGTATTCAGATCAAAAGACAACATTTTTTTTTTTACATAGACCATTCATAAATTATTATATAATATACACATAGCATACGAAAAACAATATGCAAATCAGCTTATTAATATGCATAAATTCAGCAAAAACTATACTAGTGTGTTACAATTTATATTCTGTATCAATATAACAGAGTTCATCTTCTATTAAACGAATAGAATCTACAACTTTAAGTAGAACAGGAAACAGGAATTTAATACACACTATAATGCAGAAAAATTTGTGTAATTTAGAAAGGAAAATAAATTAATTTTTTGCAAATTGTACGCAATGTTGAAAATTTTTGCTAAGTAAATGTAATACAAAATATGAAAACGCTGTGGGAGAACAATAACAAGGACAGTAACAATACAAACATCCACTTGAATCTAAAAAGTACAAAGTTTAAATAAATATCACATATTTGCACTAAGATTTGCCACTGTTAATAAATGCTACCTTACTCAAAACTGTGAAGACGCTGAAATCTGTACAACCGATGAAAACGAATACCGCTAAACAATCAAAATTGCATTAAAGGCAAGGTAATATATTTAAAATTTTTGAGTTATCATGTATCTTACTATGATTTTAAAACTAAAGTAATTAAATTCATTCTAAGGTTGTACTCAATTCACATAAATATATATTATGTTGTTTTTTTCATAAAGAGTTATAGTTTTTGTTTTTTTTAAAAACTCACTGAAAACAAAATAATTTACACGCTTGAATGAATGGGCCAAAAAAAATGAAATAAATGATATAGATATAATCAACAATTTGATGTGGTAAAAGGTTGAAATAAACAAGAGATAGTAAGTGGGAATGTAAGAAATAAATAAAATATTTAAAAAAAACCTCAGATGAAAGCTTTGAAAAAGGTTCAACAACTGATTTCAACAGTACAGTGAATAAGAAATAAAGTGTCTGACCTTACAGAATGCAGTGAACAAGCGGAAAAGATACGAAAGCTATAATACGGCAGTTTGTAGTAGAGTCAGCCAGCAACTGAATATGTAAATGAGGAGACCTACGTCACACATCACCAACTACACTTTATAAACATCACTGCCAACTTGGTGTCATGTGACGTCAGCTTTAAATCAAATTCCATAATTAAGTTTGCCTTTTACATAATGTATCTTTAGAGGGCAAGCGGAAACCGAGGCGAACGGGTCAGGTGGAAAAGAATGGGGAATCAATCACAAAATATCCATTTCCAGACAAGTCATTGCCGAGCGTAGGGGGGAATTATTTCCGAGAAAAAAAAAATAACGACTCTGAGAAAATGCCAGATGAGAGCAATATAAACGGCGCCCACATTTTAAAATACTCGGTTGGTACACGTATGCTAATTAGAAACATGAATAATTCCACGAGATCCATGTCAATAATTTTGATTGTGCACTTAACAAGATTAGTGCAATCATCACAGAACGAACGGATGTTGATAAATCATCTGCTTCACCCTCTTTAAGATAGCGAGACTTGAGAATATCTACCGAAAAGTGGTCATAGCTGAATTTTGGTTGCGGAAAACTGGAGAATTTTGAAATTTATGAACTTTCTATGATTATGTAATTTAAATGTGACACTTGTCATGTTGAGGATGAGAAAGCGAAATAAAATATGGGGCTACCATACAAAGTTCTATGAACTGATGTACAAAATGAGGTGAAAAAAGCATATTTTGTCCGTTTTAGGCATTTTACAAAACTGCTTCCTATAAGCAAGAAAATATTTGAAATTTTGCCTGGCAACATATTGAAGCAATGATGATACACCAGTAATATTTATATTCAATACTTGTTACTTATTTTTTTATAATTTGTTTGTTGTTTTTATTCAATTTTCCACTAGAATTAAGTCTTTATCAAAAATGTTGGAAAAATGATATGGGCTTTTTTTTTGTGCATATTGACAGCAATTTACTAGTGTTCAAATTCAAGTTCAGCATCTTGAGTGCATGTTGCATAGAAACTGAAAAATGCATTCTGGGGAAAAATTACATGACATAACAAAGTTCTAAAGTATAAACAAAAAAATTACAAGTAATTTCACCGATTGACCCTCTGGAAATTATTGAAAAAATTACAGTTTTTAGGTGAAAGTAAAAAAATCTATAAATATCAGCCCTTCTTTCTTGAAAATGGCCTAGAGGTTGAAAATGGCTTAACAGATTATAATAACACTTGTGATTATGGGAGTTAGGTTATTAAAATCTTTTCAACATTGTATGGATTATACAAGTAATAATTATATAGCTCTTCTGAGTCATAATCTATTCGAGTGATAGAAAAGTGGAGTGATCACTCATCTTAAAAATTAAGGTCAGATATATACAATAAGATTGCACATGAATGAATCTTTCTCATCTTATTATAGTGGCACGAATATTCATATTTACCTAATTAACCTTTCAGATCTCAGCTGAACAGCGCTACTTAATTTTCTCTAATTGGTGCGAAGGTTGTCTAAACAAAACTAACAAAATGGCCACCTGTCAGCCATTTAGAACCGAATTATGGATGAAAAAAAACATACATCAATCACTCACTACCGGTATGTATATGTTTATACCGATGAATTAAATAAACCCATGCTGCAAAAAATAGTTGAAATCACTTTGACATTTTGTGTCTTTTTGGAATAAAATGTTCACTTGTTATTTCGTTGCAATTAATAACTTAAGTTCTGGGTTTCCATGATTAGTGTCAGTGATATTTTCTCCTGTTAAATTAACAAGCGTCTAATGAACGAAATCAACAGTCTACCATAACTAATAATATAGCCCAATGTGTATTTAGCAACTTAAAATTTGACGATGCCAGTGCTAAGAAGTTATATTAGCACTCGGAAAGCATCCTTGTCGAACCTAAATAAGTAATCTGGCTCATCCCTATTCACTCCTGCTTGTCTGCATTACAAGTAGCCACTTCCTAGAATTTCCTATACACTTAGACAGCGAGTAGCGATTACAACAAAGCAAGCGGAAAATTATTCTCCACGGTCAATAAGATTCCTTGGTTTTCTCTCACTAGCGAAATCAAACCTTTTTTCATTTGCTCAATTGTAGAACGTCATATTATACAAGACTATGTTCAGTTTAACCAGTTTGGTGACTTATTTAATAAAAAAAACACACATACTCATTCATATCTATTCAGAATTCAAGCTGACATCTCCGGAGAATTGTTCAACCACTTAATGCCAACAGAAAGCTTTCAATTAGGAGGGTCATTATACAAACTTAGCACCTCTAACTTGCTTGAAATTATATAACGATGAAATTAAAGCAAGGTGCTCTAGCGAGGACATTTAGCGTTTCTGGGAACAACTGCGCCATATTCTATAATATAATCAGCAAATAATACTGATAAGCACGATTTAATTTTAATTTACAATTTTCATTGATCATACTCCAGAAATATTTTACTGTGACTTAGGAGGTCTGGACTGACGAGCTCCTTTCCCAAGCATATCTGTAAATGAGGGGGCGGTTCTCAAGAGAACTGCTCTTAATCATTGCAATCTTTTCCCCGTGGTGTAGATGTAAGTCAACCTTTAATGGAATAAAATATTAAAAGTAACAAATCATCTTGGATAATTCCCATTTCCGGTGTAACAATAATTAAGTTACAACAAGTCAGTTAACTCTGAGACGAAGAAAAGCACATTATCAAGTGTACATATGTCATTTGAATAACAAATTCCACTGTATATGCACACGTAAAATATGCAAGACATTGAAATTCCTATCATCTTCTAGACTTCAAGCACATTTTTTTTTTATTTTATTTTATAAAAACTTTTTTTTATAGTCATAAAATTTTATCTGTCTCACGACATGACATGACATAAAAGATTTCAAAACAATGACACAGAAAAAAAAATTCAGTCACATCAAGAGGGGAGGCCTTGACAATATCAATACAAATGAAAGGAAAAATTAGTTGAATTGGTTGTTTCTACGCCATGTGTTTATTCTATTACTTTAATATTGTGCGAGATGAAACGACTGTTCAGGAGCGTGATTCCAATGAAATGGTTATCACAGAAAACAAACAGCAAGATGAATGCGACTACAGGTATTTCTGTTTGATTGTTTACACACAGGATAGTGATTTACTCAAACTGTTGCTAAATGAAAAACATTGTTTCAGAAATAAATTCATGGTTATGAATACACTTGATATGTTCACATACTTTACAATGTAATTTTATTCATCGATGTTAACACAAATCACATGAATATCATTCATTAAAATGAAAAGCCAAATCTGTTAAAACAAAAATTTCAAAAAGAGATCTTCCTAATATCAAAGGTTAAGCTGTTTTGATAAGCGTATTAAAGTACAGTAATAATTAACCCTGGGACGCAGATTTAGTCTTTTCACCACCAGACTTTCTCACCCACATTTGTTTGCACTTTTTTCTTATATTCTTCAATATTTATGGAAATGAACCCTAATTTTGGAGCCAGCTGACAAAATATGAGTAAATTTTCAGTTTTTATTCTAA